CCATTACCAAAGTAACAACCCAACCTCCCACAAGAGAAGCTGCATAAGAACATTATTCAAACAAGCGCAAATGCACTGCAGCAACCCAGAACAGCAGAAAAAGGAAACAGACCATCTATACAACATCTTCCAACAAAATGGACATCCACTCAACTTTATCAAAAAGTGCCTGACCACTACAACACAACCAACACAAGCTATGAAAAGGATAACACTGCCATACATCAGAAACATCTCAGAAACAACCAACAGACTGTTACAACCACATGGCATCTCAGCTAAAGCCCTCCAAAACATCTTAAGTAAACCAAAAGACCGAGTAGCCCAAGAAGAAAAAACAGGAGTCATCAACAACATACAAAGTAAAGCCTGTAATAACCACTATGTAGGACAGACAGGCAGAAGGGTAGCAGAGTGCATCCATGAACACCAACTAGCCAGTCAGAAGACACAATGAAAACTCCTTAATCTCACAACATATGGACAGACTTAACCATAGTTTTAACTGGGAAACTGTCAGCATCTTAGACCAAGTTAATCCAAAAATGCGAGGGAATTCCTGGAAGCTTGGTTTTCAGACAAGGCAGCCATCAACAGGCACATAGAGATAAACAATCTCTACATACTATTCAAAAGAGGCAATAAAAAGGAAACAAAAGAGCAGAATACTTCCTCACCAGCAATCATCACCCAGATAAGCAGAAATTAACACCAAGATTATCACCAGACAATCAAGCAGTAAACAATACCCTAATCAAGAAGTACCAGGAGAACTCCCCCTCCCCCAACACTGGCAGGGCAAGCCACTGTTTTTAAACAAAGAGCAAACCCCACTCCATTCTAGCACTGAAGATGTTACCTAGCCGGGTAACAAAATGTTTGCAAGAAAACAACCAAGCTCAAAGAGCCCCAAGGACTCCACAGTTCAACCCTGAGCTACATACAGTATATTCTCAAATAAATAAAACAAGAGACTATTGGAATTAGAAGGACATGATTTAAGATTTGGATGGCATGGATATTTATGGTATTATGGTATAGTATCTTGTACTAATCATATGTATTGTTGAAATAGATTGATTCTATGATCTTTCTGAATGCTAGGCTAAAAATGATTTTTTACTATGTAAATCTTTAGATATTAGAGTAAGAGGTGAGTATTTTACATTTATACCTGTACCAAAGAAAGTTGGAAGTTGCTTTTCTTTTTCTATATTTTTTCTTTTCTGATGTTTCTTTTCTTTTTGACTTTTTGTATCTTTGAATCTTTCTGAAATTTAATAAAATTTATTAAAAAAAGTTGAATGCAATGGGAATGGGGTACTTACAAACATAAGTGATAAAACAAGAAATATGGTCAAGAATGGAGGCTGGATGAACATGGACTGAACACAAAATAGAGTAATCAGTACAGGTAGTCCTCACTTAATGTCCACTTGTTTAGTGATGGTTTGAAGTTATAATGGCACTGAATGAGGGGGATTTATGATGGGTCTTTATAATTGTGGCTGTTGCAGCTTCCCCATGGTCAAGTGATCATGATTTAGGTACTTGGCAATTGGCTTGCAATTACGACATTGCAATGGCCCACGGTCACGTGATCACCATTTGCAATCTTCACTGCTGACTTCCGACAAGCAGTCAGTGGAAAAGCCTGCAGAAGATCGGAAATGGTGATCATGTGACCACAGGACACTGTGACTATGTGGGATTTGCCTGACAATGGCAACTGAGACTGCAAGAACTGCCATCCTAAGTTGACATGGTCATGTGATGTTGCGCCTTATGACTAGTGGCTTGGAGTTGGAGTTCCCACTCCCAATTACTGTTGGTAAGTGAGAACTACCTGTATGAGAGAAGTACATTGAGGCAGTTTGTTTACAGAGGGAGAATGAGGATAGAACCAAAAAAGAAAGATACAAAAGAAAGATAAGTGGGAGAGGCAGAGGAAGACTGAGATTGTCATACTAGGATAGTGCTGTGGAGTCCCTCAAAAAGAGAGAGAGGGTAAAAGTTTAAATAACAAAAAACAAATATAAAGGTTTGTGTGGACATGATAGAAACAAAGGTAGCTTGCAAGGATAAAAAAGTATGGAGATATATGGTGGATGGTGTTGGTTTAAAGTAGATGAATTATATGTCGTTTCCTTTTTTTTAATGTATGCCTTAATTTCTTTGGTTTACTTTGGTTTACTTACATGGAAGTCATAAATAACTCAACGGGGCTAATATGCACTGATATTAGTAAGCCCCTTTAAATTAAGTGGGATTTATTTTAAAGTAAACATTCATTAGTTTTGTGTATTTCATAACTGCTTTAAGGACTATGATGTACAATTTGACTTTTAACCCAACATGAGAATGAGCAAATCATATAACACACTCAGCAAAGTAAACAAATAAAAAACACAGGACAGAAGAGAGAGGAAGAGATGGACATAGAAAGTATGAAGAATTGGTTCAAAACCAAAATGGATTAAATTGCTGAATGCCACCCAGGACATGAGGAGCAATCTGTTTTTTATTTTCTTTCTACAAGCTGGAAATATTTCTAAACTTAAATTCTGGCTTTTCCTTATTTTATATAATTAGATTGCTGATCCAAGCTGTTGATATGTCTCATAGTCAAGTTCAAGAAATGGTAACAGTAGCAAAAATGTCAATGTATTTCTAGGTTTATTTATACAATAAATTGTGGACACATTATTTGGGCTTGCATATCTTTATACTCTTAAAAGATAGAACTTGTACTATTTGGGATGAAAATAAAAGATTTGTTTCAACTCTGCATTCCACATTAACAAAAAGCAGAAGGTTGCAATTTTTAAGATTGTCTCTATTATATGACATCTATAAATTGATGTAAACATCAATGCCTTGTAAACCAGTCATTTTTAATGTACTAACTGGAGAGAGGCTTTCTATTATTCACAAATGTCCGTTAAATATGAAAGTACAGCACTGCAGTGATTTGTGTCATTTGCATCAGGATGTCATTATGTCTTTTGTAAATGACACTAATTTGTCCCAGAAAACCTAACTATTGCATGTCAAATCCATTGCACTGAGGTCCACTAAATCGAGTTTTCACTGCGATTTAAATTCATGGCTCTTTGTTGTCATTCCTTTGAGTACAACGTCTCAGAAGAAAGTTGTTAGTTAAAATTTATCTCCGCGGATAAATATTGATCAAATACACCTTATTTTCTAAGGTTGCTGAGGAAGAGCACATTTGAAAAGGTTGTGAAGAAAGTGGTGCTAGTCCCGCTTCAGTGTTACGGATTTTGAACCGATACTCCACGAGATAACTGAGATGCGAATGTGGCGCTAGACTTACACCTCCCGTAGGCTTGCACCACTCCCCTCCGAGCTAGAATGAACACTCGCGCGCTTCATCGGGCCCAGAGGACTTCCCATCCTCTCGGAATCTTCCGGCGCAGGAACCAATAGGACAGCTTCCCTGCACAGCCTCCACCCAATGGAAAGGATGCGGCGCTTCCTCTCTTCCCCGCCCTTTCCGGACTAATCGGACGCGGAGATTGGTTTTTCCGGTGAGGATTTTTGGCAAAGCAGGCGGCCAATAGGACAGATTTAGAGAGCCTCCTCCCCCTCTTCCCTCTTATTCCCGCCCCTTTGCTTTCCTCTTCACCCGCGTTACCTTGGAACCTGCTGTAAATATTCTGGGACGCCTTGGTGACGCTGCGGCGCCTTTAAGGGAGCCCCGGCAACCGTCTGGCTCCGTCATGGGGGACGTAGAGCCCCCGGAGTCAGGTAGGGGAAGGGGCTCGCTGCGAGGAAGGCGGGAACTGGGGACGGCGGGCGGGCATTACAGGGCGAGGCTGCTCGGCCGGTCGTGTTGTCTCACTGTTACGCTCTGCTCCAGGTTTGGAAATGGTCCCTTTGAACGCCCCCACCCCGTGCCCTCGTTTTGTTAAAGGTCAGTTTTCTTTTCACGTGCTGTAAAGGGACTGGTGGCTCCGTAAAGCCAGGCAGCTTTATTGGGGTATCAGTGGTAGATAGGAGGAGTGTTTGGGTGGCACTTCAAAGTGTCGGTTGCCTCCCCAACCCAGTTGACTTGTGCATTTTTACGGTTGAAGTCCACCCTCGGCTCACTGGGTAATTTGGAGTCATTCTCTCCCAGCCGAACCTACCTTGGAGGGTTGTTGTGGAGAAAAAATGGAGGGAGACGGATCAAGTATGTCACCTTGGGAAAAGGAAAAGTGGGACAGAAATCTAAAAAAAACAAACCTCAATTTGTTACTTGTTGCATACAACTGAACTTTGTGTAGAAATGTCTTAAGCAGAATTTCTTGCATGTTGCAGCCACTGTTCACTTTTCCCCTTTACAGCTCTATGTTTACATATACACAGGATAATTAAAGATAATAGTTCAAGGACCTGAAATATTTGCAAAGTAACACAATCCTAGGTGTACTTACTCACAGCCAAATCTCATTGTGTTCAGTGGGGATTAGTTAGTGAGACCAGAATTTGCAACCAAAGTATATTAGTATTTCAAAAGTCTCAAGGCATCACTGTTTTGCTGAGAAGTTTTTTTGGAAAGGAGTGATCCCCACGGAAGGTTAATATGAGAACAAAAACGTATCTTCTGGATACGTTTTTTCCCCTAATTACTTGATGGTCTTTTGTTTTCCGTGTAACATTTCAAAATTGGTTGATGAGAAAATGGATATATCATCCTCTATAATATCACGAAAATCTGGTTATTGGTGTGATATTTTTCTATTTTCATTCTTACTAGGTGTGTTCAGGTTGGCTAGGTACACTCAAGTGAATACTCCACAATTCCTAGGAACTGTATGCTTTTACTGGGACAAGTCTTTTCTTTCTTGTTGGCTGGTCACTTGATTAGTAGAACTATATTTAAAAATTGTTGGTGATGGGAAGTTAGATACATAATCATTAAAGTATGCACTTTTATCATATAAATGCTATCATCATAAAGAGACTTGCTAGGAAATAAATTTCACTGAGCACTTCTGAATAAACATGAATTATATGGATTATTCCAGAATATTTAGTATAAAGTACTTCGGCTTTACATTAAGATGAGAAGGAAAGTGGACCTTGCTTTCATTTTGATATCTCATGGAGTAAAATGTCCCCAAAAGATTCCTTTGAGATTTCAACATGGTGGAAATCTTGGACTGAATGAAATTTGCTTTTATCCTTATTTATTTATTTAGGTGATTGCTTTTTGTTTTGGGCTTAAAATAAGAATGTTGGGATACTGATATTTTTAAAATCACTTTTAATATCAAATAAATTTCTTTAAAGTAAAAATATCATAGGATATGTGACTATCTCTGAGAGGTGTTCCATCTTCTCTTCCTATATTCATGCGTTATAAATCTGTAAAAATGTCTAGTGTTATCACTTAATCCTTCCTCTTGTAGTCCTAGACAATAAAGAAGTAATATCTTAAAAGGAAAGAATATATTTTCCAAGTTGCTTTTTGGCATCATTTACCTGGCTTTTTTCTCTTCTTCATGGATAGGTATGCATATGTATAATGAAAAGCAAATATTGTTGCTTTTGTTGTGATAGTCATATACTCTCAAAGTCATTAGATCTGCATTAGAGAGAGCAAAATAGTTCTTTGCTGCCCTGTAAGAACTGATCCATTGTTGTACTATCTGTCCAGTACACAAGCTGTTGAATCAAGCTGAAATTTTATTGAATTTAATCAAGTTTGTACTTGAATTGAAGCCTGAGAATTTGGTGTTACAGCCAGAATCTTAAGGTAGGAGAAAAATTGCATCAAAGTAAGCAAGTGAAACTGCATGTCTCTTTTAGTCACTTTTTATATTCTATTACTCAGTTTCTTGAAGAAACAAACATTGAAGTACTTCATGTTCTATATTGCTATGAACATAATTGAAAATAAAACCCGTAGGGGGAAAAATGATATACCGATTCTGAAAGGCTAGAAATAGATTTTCATGACTTTAAATTCTACTATGCTGTTGTAGCTGGTATAAACTTAATTTCAGTCTAGGCACATTAAAGATTTCATCAAGTCAAACTCAACTGGTGACTGTATGGCAGCTTTCCATACAGAGTGATTTGCCATTTTCTTATTCTGGGGTTTTACTAGCTTCCCTGTCTAACCAAAATCTATTTAAATTTTAAACTACCGTATATACTCGTGAATAAGCCAACCCTTAATTTTTTAACCAAAATACCATGAAAAATGCACCACCCACAGATAAGCCGACCATCACAATTTTTGTATGTTTTAATTTTCACAATTGGCTTATCCATGGGTAATCCACAGATTATCCATTTTTCATGGTATTTCAGTTAAAAATTTGAGGGTCAGCTTATCCACAGATGGGCTTATACGCAAGTACAGTATATACAGGATATATGGGTGTTTTTAAAAAGTATTACTGTATATACACGCAGATAAGCCCATCCGTGGATAAGCCAAACCCATTTTTTTGGGTGTATTTTGGCATCTAAAATTCTTGGCTTATTCACAAGTATTTATGGTGTGTTCTCATAGTACTCAAGGAAATGTAGATAACCTTGAGGATTTAACATCTGTGTTGAAATTAAAATGATAATAATTAAATGAAAGTATTTCAGGATAGTTAAAGCCAATGGATCAAGAATTTCTTTAATTGTAAAAGTCCTTATACTTGCTAAAGTAACACCAATTTCAAAACAACTCATCAGCCTCTAAAACTAACAATATTTCTTTAGGCTGATGAAATTACTTTAAAATTTGGCAGAGTATCAAACTGGGCAAAGACGGACACACTATGTTTGATTTCATGTAGTGAGTTGTATTCTTAACCTGTAAAGTGTAAAAACTTATTTAGGTGATAAAAATGATTCTTGGAAACCCTAACACTATTTGAGAATTTAAATAGATCAGGATCTAATGCCACAGTAATTAAATATGGTTTGTGTTTTGGAGTACCGTTATGTCTAAGAGTTCAAAGAATTTGATTGAAAAGAGACAGTTCAAAACAATATTTCAGTTTTCCTTTTTATTCAAACTACTCATAAAAGCAAAAGCAGTTTCAGTTGTTTATCAAGATTTGCAAGTACAATTTATACTCAAATTTCTCTGCATGCTATTATCAATAGTTTCTCCATCCTGTTTAGATAAGACAGTATTTCAAAAATAAAAGTGAGATCATTTTTCCTCCTGAACTTTCAGCCCTGGTCAACTCTAAGCATGTAAATATGTGCATTTTATGATACAAACTTAGTAACTGTGTGCTCTATTCTAATACTACTTCTACCCCTATATTTTCTTCCCAATTCAGAGTTGAAAAAGCAGCTACAAGTATTAGCTGCGATCTTTCCTCTCTCTCTCAGTCAGATGAAGGGGCAGCTGGTCTTCATCTATCTAGTGAACTTTCATCTTCTTTTTTCATCATCTTCAATCGCACGGAAGGTCCTCTGTCATGAGTATATCGTGTCCCATACCAGTTCTTCTTCAGCACTCTTTCCCCAGACTGCGCCCTCAAACACTTTGTGGACTTTGGGTCGCACATGCATTAACAAGCCTTCAGCAGAACAAAACCTGCCGAATCTATTTTAGGACCCAAAGCCATCCTTTTTCTGAACCGAAACTAGCAGCGCATCTTCAACAGCCACTAGAGCTGCCTAAGTCCATTTTAGCCTTGGTAGCTGCCAGCTATCCCCTCCATTTCCCAGCTTCTCCTTCCCAGAATTCTCCTTGCAAGTGTTTCAGAACATTTAATTCACTTTTAATGTCAGTCTGCATCTGATACTGATACCAGCACATCTGCTTCCCTCCCTTTCCTATGAGAGCTATGTCCTATGAGAGTCTAAAGTAATATTTGCGCTCAGCTCCCTATCAGCAAAACTATTTTGTTTCGGTCTACATGGATATGTGCAGAACCAGCAAGAAACCACTGGCTCATCCCAGTTTGTGATACGATTTTTCTGAGGCTGGGCTGCTGTGCTCTTAAATATTTATTATCTTGTAACTTTGACTGTTTTGCAAAACTGTAGCAAGACAGTAATTCTAGAAGACTAATTTAACTAATAATGGGCAGGCTACTACTAGTACTTTTTTTTAAAGGTACTAGAAGTTTTATTTGAAATTCATCTTGATATTACATTTATCACCATTTTCGTAGTAAATTTCACTTTGCTCCTACAACATGGAATAATATTAATATTAGAAAATCATACTTTTCCTAAATATATGTTTAATGTTTAAGTATTTCTCAGTGCAATATAAAAAAAGTCTTTTAAAAGAACTGAAAAAATAACTTTTTAAATAATTTAATATCTTAATCACAAATGATTTTCTTAATATGCCACAAAAACGTGCAGAGTAGCATGATTTGCCTGGTTTAAATAGAATTCAGTTCTGATTGTTGAGTTTACAAATATTTAGGGACTTTCCCCCAAATAAATGTTACTTATTTTCTGCCTATAACTAGTTGCCTCAGCAGGTGGCAGCACCTATCCACCTCGCCAACCCTTGCTGATCTCAAAAGCTAAATAGGATCAGCCCTGGCAAGTAATTAGATGAAAAACTGCCTAGCAATTCTGGGGCTGTATGCTAAATTGGAAAATTGAAACGATTCTAGAAGAACATAATGGCAAACCACTTATAAAACGCTGCCAAGAAAACTGCATGGCTGTAGTCCGTAGGAATCAAGCTCAAGTTGAGGGCATCTTTACTACAACTAATTACATTTAATGTTGTATTTCCATAACATGATACTTTCACCCTGAGATGTCATTCTACTGGGAAATGTTAATGCACTCTTTTATAAAAACACATCCATAGCACAACATTCAAAGCAATTTAAAATTAATAATGTAAATAGGACAACATTATACTTGTAAAATCTTTCTCTGTATGAGAGCATTTGCATTAGTACCTTTATTTCTGAAAGCTTTCCTCAGTTATAGGTAACTTATGGATTTGTGTTTTATGGTTGCTGCTTTATGTTGGTATAATCAAAAGAACATCCTACTAAATTCAGTTGGAACGTGTCAAAAAAAAAATGGCCTAGAACTACAACAGTAATATTAAAACATTATTTCTGATAGTTTGTAAATGTAAATGTGGAAAAAATACATTCCCATATACAATTTTGCTTAGAGATACTTACTAGATCTCTACAATTATTCTTTAGCTTCATTTGTAAATTAAGTTTAATTATCAAAATTTTCATGATAGATATAATCTAAAATGAGGCATATACATATGTATCAGTGTGTGACTACTACAAATTACTATGAACTCAATTTGAAAGCACTTCTTTCCGTTGCAATCTACACTGATGTGTTAAAACTTAGATCTCTATTTTTCATCTCTGTGTGATGTACTTACTGAGGAAGACAGTCTAGTTTCTACACAATTTCTCTTTAATAACAGCTTCCCAATTCATTATTTTGTCAAATAAACATTGAGGGTGAAATAATCATGCTACAGGCAGGAATTGTTCCAAAAGGCATCAGAGAGAATTTATTGAAGCACTTTTAGATTAAATGCAATCTGAATTATAGCCAAAACACTGGAGTCTACAAAGGTGACTTCCGTTTCATATTTTCTGGTTAAATTTACATCTGGCTTGAGGGGGAACATTAAATTGAGAAGATGCACATCCATTCACTTAAAGATAGGAAATTGTACCACACTGTACTAAAGAAATGAACAAATGAACAGTAAGTGGCAAGGAGTGAGGAACTACATCCACCTGAAATGTCATAGGTGGACACTTTAAAGCTTCTAAAACATTTAGTTTCAGTGACTAAAATATAATATAGCAAACTTTCATATGCTAAACAATATGGACAGTCTTCTTTCTTATATTAGAATGAAAGGACATGAAAGACTATGTGGTCATATAGCAAGTCAGAATATTGGTTCATCTAGCTTAGTATTTTCTCCATTGAGTAGCAGTGCTTACCAAGATTTTTAATGTTTATATGATGTATTTTATACCATTCACTACTATACAAAGTCCTGTGTACAATTAGATTTATTTGTAAAGGTTTTGAGTAGGCAAATTTTGGAAGAACAAATTTAGCAATAATAAAAAGTGTGAAGCCTCTGTGTTCTAGATGGCATAGAATCTAGAATCACTGGGAACATGAAGGATATAGCAGCACCACCATGCCCTATGATTAATCATTATAGGAAGGAGAATGCTTGGTCTAGATTAATTTTGGTCTGATCTAGTAAGACCATATTTTTTCGGGTTAGATTTGTCTTTACTGTGATGCTTAAAAATACTGAACAAAACAGTTAGTTGAGACCATCTTAAATATTTGCTTAACTTTAAAAAATGTTTGGCTGTTTTCAAATCAAAAGACTTTTATGTATTTATAAATTAATAATTGATAAAATTATGAATGTTCTCATATTGTCCATGATTTATTCATATATCAATTTCTTTGGAATTATTTATTATTAAAGTATTTGTTTTCAAGTGATATGCTGCCCTTCTGCATATGCTTTTTAATATTTTCCCTTGAGGAAATTCCTCTGTTGTGTTACCAGTCATGATAAAATGCTAATGTTTAATATCAGTTTGTAATTAACAAACTCTAATCTCCAGAATTTCATTTCACAAATGTACATAAATAAGACTCAATTAAACATTAAATGAAGGAATTATTAACTACTGTCATTTTAAATGGTTATTATAATCAGCTTCCATTTTCCTCTCTGAATTCAGATAAAAACATACATGAGAAATATTGATTGCCAAAATGAAGTCAGCAACTCTTCTAAACTTAGGTAATGAATTGACAAGAAGCCAGCAGTGACTGTGTATGAGTCTTCATCTGGAAAATGACTATTTGAGGAAAAGTCTGGAGCATTTTATTTTTTGTTATGGAGGAAAGAGGAAGGAGTCTGGATTCTGGACACAGCAGAAAATCAGACAGTGATAAAAGCAGTAATTCGTATTACTCTGATGATGATTCATCTCATGCATCTGATCACTCACCAACTATCAGCACTCAGTCTATACGTACTGTAAACAGAAGTAATAAGATACAGAACTTGAAAAGCCATGCAGATTATCATGGTAAGTAGTGGATAAAACACAATTTATTATATATATCGCAGTGTTAAATGAATTACATGAAAATAAAATTATTTCCTTTGAAATATGGCATAGCTGAACTGACATTTGTAATTAACGTGTATACTTGTATTTAAGTATGAGCTAGATTAACATTTAGCTCATACTTAAAAATTAAAAAGTATAATTTATTTGAGCAGGAAGTACACTGGCTTTGCTTTTTCCTTGTAAATAAATTGGAACCATACTTTTGTTCTTGTAATTATATGTATTAATTGAATTTAGTCGGGTATAAATGTCCCCTTTCCTTTACCTGATAGTATGGTATCTGAGATATAGGAGAGCAGAGAGAATGGGTATTGCATCTCTTATTCACTCAGAAGATCAACTGTTCATGACAAATTAAACATTTATTTAGCAATAATATTGCATGAACAGACAGTACAGAATATAATTTGCTTCTTTTTAAAATGGTTGACAAAGCTGCTCCTCTGTTTTCAATTACAGAATGAATATTTGGCTAGTCACAAGGTGTTAACAATAGTATTTGGACTGCAAAAACTCAGATGACACTAGATGTACTGCCATTGAATGATTGTTCAGATTTTTGCAGACTAGATATGGTACTAGTTTTATTTTAGATACAGTACATTAGTTATCTATTTTTAGTTTTCCTCCTTGTTTACCTTTGTCCAACTTTATTGCCTCTCTCTTCTCTTACCCTAACCCATAACTGTTTTTAAACTTTACAATAGATTTGAAGGATTCAGTGTTTTCCTTTACTGTGTCCAATTGTTGAATTCTGTTAGACCGGTATCTTCTTTTAAAAAGACTTATTTAAGCTTCCAGGAAAGCAGAATTAAAAAAATAAGTAGTGCAACAGTTAATATTTGCTGATTTCAGAGTGAATATTTGAGAGATTGTTAATATGTTTGCAAGCTATGAGAAATTGTACATATGAGAAATTCAGGCCTGGTATGGTTTCACTGATTTTCATTGTAACATTAACCTTGTTATATTTCTTTGCAGCCACAAAGCAACTTTCCTCTAAATATGCACCCAGCAAGAGAGGAAACCGCTGGGGTTTTTACTCCCAGAGCCTCAACAGGGAGTCTCCTGCCAAAGATATTAGTCTTGTTACAAAAAGAGTGCTTTCTGCTAGGCTGCTGAAAATTAACGAGCTTCGTAATGAACTGACTGGGCTGCATGTCAAACTTGATGAGTTGCAGAAAGAAAATAGGGCACTAAAGCAGCTTCAGTACAGACATGAGAAAGCCCTCCATAAGTTTGAAGACACAGAAAATGAAATCTCTCAACTTCTGGCACGGCATAATGATGAGATGAGAATACTAAGGGAGCGCTTAAGAAAATCACAAGAAAGAGAACAAACAACTGAGAAGAAACTCAGGGCTTCAGAAGAAGAGCTATTCAAGGCTAAAGGTAGTTTGCAAAAACTGAAAAAACTTGCAGAGGATAAGCATCTCCCTGAACGTGAAGAGCTGGCTAAGAAGCTGGCACTTGCAGAAAATAGATTGGATGATAGCGAGAAGAGAATTAAGGTGAGGGGCTTAAAAAAAGAATTTTTAAAGATTTATTATGTACATTCTATGGGTACATGCCATATTTACACACTTACATAGGAAAAAAAACAAAATAGAACTGTAACAGGCCAACTTACTGTGATTTCTTTGAATTTGACAAAGAACCAGGAATGTCTTATGTTATTTACTAATATTGTCATTATAATTCACAGATATAAAATCCTAGTCAGTAAATAATAGGGCTTACTTCTAAACAAATATGTATAAAATTTCACTGTAAATTAAAAGAAATTTTAAATTCACCTTTCCTTTTGACATACTGCTAATTCATTAGAATCCTTAACTGGATTCTTAAGGTTGTAGAAGAGGAGCTGAGTTCACAGAAAAGCTACTTTGTGCACCCAATAATAGAAAAGAGTAAAGTAGTTTTTACCAGCTTCCCTATGTTCTGAGAAAACTTGTTCTCGAGGATGGGAATTTTCTGGAATTATATAGAGGTAATGCAGAGAGACAGGTAATTGGTGAGAATAGTCCCCAAACTTCTCTTAGTAGATCCTTCCATTATTTAAGGGCCTTTCATTCATCAAACTCAAAGGGATAAAATCTCTAAGGATACATTGTCACTCTGTATTTGCAGGTGTTTTTAAAGCTGTTTTATGGCTATGTTTATGGTAGTATGCTTATAATTTGTTTTTATTCTATTGTTAAAATTCTGTTTAATTTTGTTCGACTTATTATTTACCATCCACCATGAGTTAAAAACTGTAGCATGAATGTCTAAATGAATGAAAAAAGAAAGAAAACAGAATAACATGAATAATTGTCAAATAAGACAGGCAAGAAGCCTCTGCCTACTTCTAGCCTCCCTCTTACCACCATGATAAAATCTATACTTTCAGGACAATTTCTTGACCAGGTATTGATTAATTTTTAATACTGTATTGCTAATGTAGGATCCGGAACTTGTCATCAAGTTCTCTAAGGTCATACATGTGACCATATGCTTTCTCTCTAAAATGCAATGCTTGGTCAGGGGAAATTCACCCTGTGTGAAATTAAGTTAGCATTCAATAATACAGAGCTGGAAAAGAGGGCAGATGGAATTTTTTTGCCTTTGTACTTGTAGCATTTGTCCAGGTAGAGCAAACCATGCAACTTTGTTCAAACCCTATGATAAACTGGAAGCACTGGTTGAAGTTCAGACCTATCAGGTATATTGGTGAGTTTATGCACCTTTACATCACCTTTCAATTCATCAGAAGTTGGCTGACATTTTGTCATGATGAAAAGAACAAGACTGTCAGCTTCTAACTCATCACATATTGTATCCAACCACTGACATCAACAATAAGAGAAATCTAGTGAAATTCTTAATAAATTTTAATATTTTAAGGTGATAGGGCTGAGAGGGGCCATGAAATGAAATGAAACATTTCATTTTAGAAAAGTATTGAATAAAAACTAAGGAACTGTTTAAGGGTTTTGTCCCTTAAAAACCTTTTTACCAAATACATCATAATTTTACTATTATACTGAATTGCAGGATTTTGAGAAGAAGCTTGATCTTAGCAATAGCAGCTTCCAGAGACAATTGCATTCTGAGAAAAAGAAATTGTATGAAGCCCAAGAAGAAAATAAGATTATCCAAGAGGAAGTCCAACGGTTAAAACAAAAATTAAAGGTAAACATTTCCATTTTCTAGCATAGAACATCTTTACCACATATCTTCTCATCCAAATAAACTTCATAGGTCACACCCTTCAATATAACTATTAATGGAAAATTGGACTATAGTTTTTGATATAACAGCATTTCTCAAAGAGTGGGTTGCAACGGGTTTCCAGAAAGTCCATTCCTTGTGCTTCTTTCCAAGCAAGCTTACCAGTTCAATGCAAAAGTATGTGAAGGTTCAGAATCCTGTACAAAGCCCAAATGCTTTTATTTTTTTAAGGCACCACTTTTGCCATTGAAAGGAGGAATAAGCATGCCTGAAGGGTATCAAATTTCTATATAAAATCCTGACTGACCTGATGTCCACTCTGCAGATGGCATTAAAGCAAAAGGAGAAGGGAGGAGGGGCAAAGACTGTGGTTGTTATTTCAATATGGCTCTGTTGGGAGTAAGCACCAAAAGCAATGTATAGCCTACCAGTATTTTGCAAGCTGGAGCATTTTAAGAGAAGGTGATTTAAGGCAAGGAAGTAAACTTCCCCTACCATTCAACTTTAATGAATGACAGTGACTGTCTTCAAAATGAATTCCAGATTTCAGGACTTATGCAAAAGTAAGTAAACTCATCCTCTTGTTACAAACATGATTTTAATTTCAGAAATAAGCAAAAATAAATCCCAATTTTATTTTATCCAAGCTTAATTTATAAAGTTGTAAGGTTCTCTCACTGTTTTATTTTGTATAAAGATCAACATGTAACTATTAAAAATAAGATATCTCCACCCTAACTCCAATGAAATCATTAAATTTTATTCATGGGGAGGGTCACACAAATTCATTTGATTGATTTAGGGAGTCAGGGTATGATGGAGTTTGAGAATCTCTGTGATATAAGATTGTCTTCTGGTTTCATCTAAATTATTGGGCTCCTTAGTCATATTAGGGCTGCAACATGGACATAATGTTATTCCAAAGTTGTCTTCCTGGGGCTGTAGATGTATAATGCATCTCCCTGTAAAAGCTTGATAAATGACCCATTTCAAGATTGGTCAAAGTATATCCTTCCTTTCACAAGATCATTCATGGCCTGTAAAACTGAACAGTGGAATACACTTTTGGTCACATAATCTTATATAATCCCATCCCACACCTGAAAGTTATTTAATTTTGCCTCAGAACAGAGAGGGTATATTATATCATCTCACCAAAGTAATAAAACATCTGGTTACTCATATACTGAACTTCAAGACATTGTTATAAAAATTGAAATACAAATATTGTATGTATATCCTCAAAAATCTTAACTGGTGTAATGGTATTTGGGAAGGACCTTGGAAGATGGGGAGGGGAGGAAGAGATGCTGCCTAGGGAACGATCAGATAAGAGAGGGCATAGCCCGCAGCTGCATAACAGGCAGAGAAAGCGAAAGGAACCTCCCTGACTTCTCAGGTGGTAAAAGAGATAGTGGGAGATTGTATTATTGGACTTGCAAGATCATAGTCTGCCTTTCTAGGTATACCAGACAGGAAACACAACTAGATGAGCTAATTCTGTTTTATTGTGAGGCTACATTAACAGAAACTTGCAATTCTGATAGTACAAATCTGCCACCATCTCTTTTACTGCCTGAGAAGTTAGGTTTCTTTCTGAGCCTCTTTCCCTTCCCATTAAGCAGCTGCGGGCTATGCCCTCCCTTATCTGATTGTTCCCTAGGCAGCATCTCTGTCAGGCCCAGCCCAAGAACAATGGTGAAATAGTCATGTTAAGTTCCTTTATTTGCTTACACCACGTAGACAGAATCTTGACAGACTAAATCTATATTACTGCAACTAATGGATATACCCTGGAAGATTCTAGGGAGTGGCTATCCTGAACCTCTTATACTTCCCACGCTCCT